GACTATATCTCGAAAATAACGATACTACAAACTTTGAGAAACTATGAATGGATTCACATTTCTCAACTCCAAAGTCATTTGATCAAGCTTGAAACATAGTGTTATTTTCATAAAATAAGTTTCTTTGGAGCGAAAAATTAAACTGGCACATTTTCCATTACCAAATAAGATAACCTGTCAGTAACAATAATTCGCCGTCTCAGCCCTCTAACCAAATAAAAAGCTCTTATCAATTACCCGAAACCATCATATAGCTATACAGGTCATATTGTAACATTGGACTATGAGCACAATATTCAACATAAGAAATCAATCATCACTCAACTCATCAAGTAATAACTGTTAATAAACTATCAGTGTTCTATTCATTGTGTAATGTCGAATACTCGCAAAAAAACTTATTGTATTCTAATTGTTGTTGTTAATTAACAATGCGTGACATTCATGACGCGATGACAAGAGTTTTGCAACACGAACATACTGACATTCATTTGATTTCGAAACGGTCCGAAAATATCATCATTATATTCTACTTGTAGTTAATGGCATGTCCTTCAAGAATCAATAAGAGAGAAACGAATGTGGTTTTGAACTCTTTGTTAGGGGCAGTTCATAATTCGTTTTCTCATCATGTTAGCTACTGTCTCTGTTCTTCCTCAGTCACTATGAGTTGCGCGAGACTCAACGATGTTCAATTGAAAAGTGCTGATTCTCATTCAGATTTGTTTGTAATGATCTGACTATTTTAAATAGAAAATCATCAGGATTATCGAAGTCTGATACGATCCATTAGGAATAGCTGAATCATAGTAACTGATCAGTCTTTATTTCTTTGTTCTTGCGTTACTTAGTTCCAAAATGTGAACTTAATTTTAAAGCAACTGCCCACAATCCAATTAACTATAAGTATGGTCCACGAGCAGTTGCCATGGGAGACTTCAACAACGATACCTTGCTAGATATTGTTGTTGCCAATTGTGCCGCTGACAATATAGCCATATATTTTGGACATGGCAATGGCACCGTGGCAAGCCCAGTCATGTTTTCAACTGGTTATGGTTCTGTTCCGTACATGATTGCTGTTGGTGATTTTGACAACGATCATCGACTGGATGTCGCTGTCGCAAATTTCGGAACAAATAGCATCGGTGTACTTTTTGGATTTCAAAATGAGTCTTTTGCGAACAAAACAGCTCTATCAACTGCATCATCTCGTCCAGTTTGGATCCATGTAGCAGATCTTAACAATGACGCAGCATTAGATATTGTTACTACTAACTACGGCACACATAGTGTAAGCATATTTTATGGCTATGGAAATGCAAGCTTTTCAAACTCAAGCACGTACTCTACAGGCTACGATTCTTTTCCGTTAGCGGTTGTTAGTGGTCATTTCAACAACGACAAACAGATGGATCTTGCTATCGCCAATTATGGTACCAATGATGTCGGTATCATGCTTGGTACTAGTAACGGCACTTTCGCAAGGCAAAGCGCGTTCTTAACTGGTCTTAATTCCCATCCTTACTCGATTGTCGTTGGTTACTTAAACGAAGACACCATGCTAGATATTGCCGTCACCAATCATGGAGATAACAGTGTAGGTATACTTCTGGGTCACGGTAACGGAACTTTTATGAGTCAAACGACATATTCCCTCGGCACTGTTTCTCCATATTCTATTGGCATTGGTGACTTCAACAATGACAATCGAATGGATTTAGTCGCCACCAATAATGGCACTGACAATATAGCTCTACTTGTCGGGCATGGCAACGGTACTTTTGCAAGCGCAAAAATGTATTCAACTGGATCTTCTTCATCAATCTCCATTGCCATAGGTGATTTAAACAAAGATAATCGTTTAGACATTACCTTCATCAACAATGATACGGGCACCATAGGTATTATGCTTGGCTATGATGAATTTTTTCCTATTCAAATGACATATGCAACTGACCTTGCACCGTACTCTGTAGATATTGGTGATTTCAACCACGACACACGCCTAGATATCGTCGTTGCCAATAGGGGCAGCAACACTATAGGTGTACTTTTGGGATATGGAAATGGTTCTTTTGCTGAACAGATGACATATTCAACTGACTCTTGGCCATTCTCTGTAGCTGTTGGTGACTTTAACAACGACACACGATTAGATATTGTAGTTGCTAATAGGAATAGCAACACTGTAGGTGTACTTCTGGGATATGGAAATGGTTCTTTTGCAAATCAAACGACATATTCAACTGACTCTGGCCCAGAAGCTGTAGCTGTAGGTGATTTTAACAATGACACTTATCTGGATATCGTCGTCGCTAATGCTGGTGACAATACTGTCAGTGTACTTCTCGAATATGGCGATGGCTTCTTTGCAAATCAGACGACATTTTCAACTGGTGCTGCGCCAGGGTCTGTAGCTGTTGGTGATTTTAACAACGATACCCAACTGGATATCGTCGTTGCTAATTTTCGTGGCAACACTGTAAGTGTACTTCTAAGATATAGCAATGGCTCTTTCGCAAATCAAACGACATATTCAACTGGCTCTAGACCAATAGCTCTAGCTGTTGGTGATTTTAATAATGACAACCAACTGGATATCGTCGTTGTTAATCGGGATGACAACACTGTAAGTGTCCTTCTTGGATATGGAAATGGCTCTTTTGCAAATCAAACGACATATTCAACTGGCTCTAGACCAAAATCTGTAGCTGTTGGTGATTTTAACAACGACATCCAACTGGATATCGTCGTTGCTAATTTTGGTGGCAACACTGTAAGTGTCCTTCTTGGATATGGCAATGGCTCTTTTGCAAATCAAACGACATGTTCAACTGGCTCTGGCTCACAAGCTGTAGCTGTTGGTGACTTTAATAACGACAATCGATCGGATATTGTCGTCGCTAATTTCAATGATGACACTGTAAGTATACTACTTCGATATGACAGAGGAGCTCTGAAAGATAAAATCACATTTGCGCCTACCGATGGTTCTCGTTTGCGAAACTTTGCCATTTTTGATTTCAATAACGATAGCCTACTGGATATCGCTGTTGTCAATTATGGTACTAATAACATAGGTGTCCTTCTTGGATATGGGAATGGCGCTTTTGGAAATCAAACGGTGCTCTCAACAGGCTTAAATTCTCATCCTTACTCCATTACTATCCATGATTTCAATAGAGACGGTCAAGCAGATATAGCCGTGGCCAATTATGATACTAAAAATCTTGTTACGTTTCTTGGAAGTGGAAATGGAACATTTGAAAATCAAGGACGTTACGGTGTAGATTTCAATTTCGCTCCACTGATGATTGGTGCTGGTAGTTTCAACACAGATGGGCGTTCAGAAATTTTCGTTGCATATGATGACATCGATTATGTAGATGTGCTGGTTACATACGACATCGGATCTTTCAGTCATGACAATAAATATTCAACTGGCGGCTGGCCCCAATCTGTAGCTCTTGGCGATTTTAATAACGACACCCATCTGGATATCGTCATCGGTAATCAGTACGACAACACTGTAAGTATCCTTCTCGGATATGGAAATGGTTCTTTCACTAATCAAACGACATACTCAACTGGTTTTAACCCATACTCTGTAACTGTTGGTGATTTTAACAACGACACCAATCTGGATATCGTCGTCGCTAATTCTGATGACAACACTGTAAGCATCCTTCGTGGATATGGCAATGGCTCTTTTGCAAATCAGACGACATATTTAACTGGCTCTGGCCCACAAGCTATAGCTGTTGGTGACTTTAATAATGACAATCGACCGGATATTGTCGTCACTAATTATAATGACAATACTGTAAGTGTTCTTCTCGGATATGGCAATGGCTCTTTTGCAAATCAAACGACATATTCAACAGGGTATGAACCATGGCCTGTAACTGTTGGTGATTTTAATAACGATACTCGATTGGATATCGTCGTTGCTAATTTTGGTGACAACACTGTAAGCATCCTTCTCGGATATGGCAATGGCTCTTTTGCAAATCAAACGACATATTCAACTGGTGCTGAGCCAAAGTCTGTAGCTGTTGGTGATTTTAATAATGACAGCCAACTGGATATCGTCGTTGTTAATCAGAATGACAACACTGTAAGTGTCCTTCTCGGATATGGAAATGGCTCTTTTGCAAATCAAACCACATATTCAACTGGCTCTGTCCCACAATTTGTAGCTGTTGGTGATTTTAACAACGACACCTTATTGGATATCGTCGTCACTAATTGGAATAACAACACTATGAGTATCCTTCTTGGATATGGCAATAGTGTTTTTGCAAATCAAATGACCTATTCAACTGGCACTAGTCCTTCATCTGTAGCTGTTGGCGATTTTAATAATGACACCCGATTGGATATCGTCGTCACTAATCAGAATGGAAAAAGTGTCAGTGTATATCTGGGATATCCTAATGAAGGTTTTCTTAAGCAAATGAGACTCATAACTGACAATGGATCTCGCTGTAAGTCATTCGCCGTTGGAGATTTTAACAATGACGGTCAAATAGATATTGCAGTTGCAAATTCAGGCACTAACAACATCAGTATTTTTCTGAGACACGACAATGGTTCTTTCGAAAATCAAATGGTATATGCAACTGATTCCTCTCCGTGGTCAGTAGCCGTTGGTGATTTCAACAACGATACC